TCACCTCCAATGCTGATCAAAGTGAACCTCAGCCAACAACGGGGAGACGTGCCCTCATGTGCCTCCTGATGGAATGCACTGAAAGGGCACAGCACTGTTTCTGGGACATTCCTGCCAAAAATGCGTAACTTAAAATTAAATTAAATCATGAGGAGACATGAGGAAAAAAAAACAAATTGAGGGACAGTCTACGAGATAACCAGCCAGTACTCTTCAAAAATGCCACCGTCCTTAAAGACTAGAAAGACTGAGAAACTGGCCCAGAAGGAAGGACCCTGGGGGATGCCATTGCTACAAGCAACGTGTCCCAAAGACACCGGTGGGCTGGCTGATGACATCTGATTTTATCACTGAACAATGACTGTTACGTAAGATGTTAGCGTTTGGGGAAGCCGGTGTAAGGGCATATGGAAATTCTTTGTGCTAATTTTGCAACTTTTTTAAGTGTGAAATTCTTCAAAATGAACAGTTAAAAATAAGCTTTTTCTAAGTGGTTGTTAGTTGACCATTAGTGAAGCTCGGTGATGGGACCTAGGAGTTCATTATTCTACTCTCTCTCCTTGCATAGGTACTCGAAATGTTCAGTGATAAAAAGTTAAAATGAGAAGTTTCAGAGACAAAACCACCACATAAAAGATATGGACCCTGTCTGGATTTGATTAAAAAATATCAACATGAAAGAATATTTCTGAGACAACCAGAGAAATTTAAATTCGATTATTGGATAATACTAAGGAATCACTGTTGATTTTGTAGGTAGATTTTTTCCCATTGTGATAAAAAAAAAAAACCACAAAATTTACCAACGTAAGCATTTAAAGCGTACAAATCAGTGGCATTAAGTACATTCACAATGTTGTATGACCGTCATCCCTGTCCAGGTCCAAACGTTTTTATCACCCCAAAGGGAGACTGTCTCCATCAGCAGCCCGTCCCCACTGCCCCTCCCCCAGCCCCGGGAACCACTCATCTGTTTTGTATCTCTGATTTGCCTATTCGGGACATCTCATATAAACCCCATATAACATGTAAAATGTGGCCTTTTGTGTCTGGCTGCCTTCACTCACCATAATGTTTTCTAGGTACATCCACAGTGTAGCATTTATCAGTATTTCGTTCTTTTTATAGCTGAAATATTCCATCGTGTGAATAGACCACATTTTGTTGATCCGTGCATGTGCTGATGAACGTTTGCATTATTTCTGCTTTTTGGCTATTGTGAACAGTGCTGCTATGAATATTCATGTATAAGTTTTTGTTTGAACACCTGTTTTCAATTGTTCTGGATGTAGTCGTAGGAGTGGAATTGCTGGGTCATATGGTGCTTCTGTTTACCTCATCCAGAAGCTGTTTTCCAGAGTGGTTGGCTCCATTTCACATCTGGCCAGTGTCCCCACATGAGGATTCCAATTTCTCCACATCCTTGCCAATGCTGGCCATCTTCCATTGTTTTTGTTTTTTAAAATTATTATGGATACGGGCGCCTGAGTGGCTTAGTCTGCCTTTGGCTCAGGTCATGATCCTGGGGTCCTGGGATCGAGTCCCACATCGGGCTCCTTGCTCAGTGGGGAGCCTGCTTCTCCCTCTGCCCCTCCCCCCTGCTTAGGCTCTCTGTCAAATAAATAAATAATCTTTTAAAAAAATTATTATGGATGACCATCCAAGTGGGTGTGAGGTGGGATTTCACTGTAGTTTTGATCTGCATTTATTTCCCTAATGACTAATGACACTGAGTATCTTTTTGTGTGCTTTTTGGCCATTGTTAGGTGTATTAACATACTGTAGTTACCTTAAAAATACCCATCTTTTTTGGAAAGACGTACTACAACATGAAAGGATACAATAACAACAAATCTGGGATTTTAAATACAACAGCAAGGGGTGCCTGGGTGGCTCAGATGGTTAAGCATCTGCCTTTGGCTCAGATCATGATCCCAGCGGCCTGGGATCAAGCCCCACATCAGGCTCCCTGCTCAGTGCAGAGCCTGCTTCTCCCTCTCCCACTCCCCCTGCTTGTGCTCTCTGGCTCTATCTATTCTCTGTCAAATAAATAAATAAACTCTTCAAAGTACCATCAACTTTTAAAAAAATAAAAAATAAATACAATAGCAAAAAAAAAAAAAAACCCAAGTTAAAAAAGAAAAAGGAAAAAGAAGGGAATGTGGCAAAATCTTTAATTGTTAAATCTGAGTGATGGATATATGGGGAGAATCCCTCTGAAATATGCCACAATAAAAAATAAATTCTGCCCTAGGAAACAAAGTCGTGAAAACCCAGGGTCGTTAAGCCTGTGGTCTTTGTTCATTCAAAACACAAGCCTCTCCTCTCCTACCAGGCTCACAAGGCATTTCCTGGGTTCTTCCTGGGGACCCCTGACTCCCTGTGCCCTGACAGTCACAGATGTCAAGGAGGCTTGGGGGCAGAGGTTCTAGACTTCCGGGGCGGACGGCCAGCCTTTTCCATGCATGGTGAAACACCAGTGTTCTAGACAGGAACACATGGGAAATTCGGATCCAACAAGAAGGGAGCACCACAGTGATCCTGGGGGTACTCGCCTCACCACAGGGTGCTGACAATGTCCCCAGCGTCATGTCCAAAACAGACATCAGGGCAGCCTTAGCCGTCTGCAGACATGTGCCTACTGTCTTTTCAATGACGCTCTCCGTAAACCACCTGCTGCTGGGGACCAACTCCACACCCCCTGGGAAATGGGGGGCACTGTGGACATCAAAATCATAAGTGCTTTTTTTTTGGCCATCTGTCTCAAAAACAGTCATCCTGTAAGGGTGGCAAGACACATGATTTTATTCTTACATATTTGAATCTTGCTACATATTGTCTTTTCAATGAACTTTTTTTTTTTATGGAAAAGGGTCCTCTTATTTTATCATTACTAACGTAAGCATTTGATGTCAAAGAGACGAAGGTAGTTTTATAAACTCAGAATGTTTGCAAGGACATAAAATTTCCATTTTATCGTGGTTTTCTGCCACACTGGCTCAAATGCTCTTGTCTACAAGCACCCCCGCACGGCCTCTTCAGAGTTATTTCAGTCAGCCTCAACATGGGACTCTGCCCAATACTCTGAGTCTAGAATAAACATATTAAATTGTAATTATTAACTTTTCGCTGGATGGGGTAAGAAATAAAGTCATCAGGTGATGGGATAGTCATCAGGTAGGATTGGTAATTTCCAAGGAGAAACTTGGTTGAAATGTTTCTTCTGATACAGTAGTTACAAACTAGAGTTTTCGAAAAACAAGGGCAGAACAAAAGTGCGGTGAAAGAAATTTCTGCAGCTTAGGCCTCCCACAGCCCTAAATCTCTGAGAGCAGCCAGGTAGAGCACCTTTCCTGCAAATTAAGTGGGTTTCCAGGATTTCCATGTGGTTGAGCTTTCAGAGATATACACTCAAGACATATCATTAATCTATACATTATCTCAGCTCTGGTTGTCTTTTTCTTTAAGATTTTGTTTATACCAAAAAAAAAAAAAAGATTTTGTTTCATTACTTGACAGAGAGAGAGAGAGGGAGGGAGGGAGTACAAGCAGGGAGGCAGGCAAAGGGAGAAGTAGACTCCCAGCTAAGCAGGGAGCCCAATATGGGGCTCGATCCCAGGACCTCGGGATCATGACCTGAGCTGAAGGCAGACACTGAACTGACTGGGCCACCCAGGCGCCCCAGTGGCTCTGGTTGCCTTAATTATACCTGCAGAGTGAGATGGCCATCCAAGTCCAAAGGCAGAGGAAGAACACACACATGGGTATGGTCATGGGCAGGGACCGACTAGAAAAGCCCAGGCTGGCTAGGCTGGTGCAGCCTCATGTGAGCTTTTCTTCCACGGAGGCAGAACCGAACAGTCCTGCCAAGGAGACCGACGGAATAGGACAGTCAACGTAGGAAGAGGCAGAGATATTCTTCTCCCCCACATCTTCCCCGCCACTCGGACTCTTTAAAAGGTAAGTGGTATTAAGAAAATTCAGTTGTGGGATGCCTGGGTGGCTCAACTAGTTAAGCGTCTGCCTTCACCTCGGGTCATGATCCCAGGGTCCTGGGATTGAGCCCCACATCGGGCTCCCTGCTCAGCGGGGAATCGGCTTCTCCCTCTCCCTCTGCCCTTCCCCGCTGCTCATGCTGCACACTCTCTCACGCTGTCTCTCTCTCTCAAATAAGATCTTTAAAAAAAAGAAAAAGAAAGAAAGAAAGAAAATTCAGTTGTGTGTTGTCTTCCATGATGCTCTAGAGCTGCTCCATTTCTTCTTGCTTCTGATGTTGCCGTGTCATCCTAGCCGCCTGTGGTACCATACGAGGAATCCCGTCAATAATGGGATGGGCTCTTCCCGATTCTTCATTCTTCAGTTCACTGGTCGATGTTTCACACCTGAGCTGCTTCTCAGAGGGCAGGCACACCAGGAACTCGAGCAGCGCCTGGTGGAAGGCGCAGGGCGGGTCCCCTGCCCTCCTGCTCTTGACTGCTGACCTCCGCCACCCAGACGCGTGAAGGCACCTCCGGGCCACCGCGGGCAACGGCCTGTACCCCGCAGCACTGCGGCGAGCACGGTCTGGCAGCCCACGACCCTGGGCCAGCCCCCCACACCTGCCGCCCATCCCCGGGCTGCCCACCCCTCAGCTCTTCTGCGAACTATTTTTAACACGTTGGTAGGGCTGGTCAATTCTTATCCTTCCAGAGAAGAAGCAGAAGTCACTTAGGAACGGCCACAGGCCTTTGTGTCTTCCTCTTATGCTGAAACTAATCTAACTGCTTAAAAGCATTCAGTGGGCCTCCTCTGTGGTCCTTCTCCCCCTTCCCAGTAAAATCAGCTCTCGTGGGCCGAAGGGTCCACGCCTGGCTGCCCAGCCAACCTCCACAGGCTGCCCGAGCCCTCTTAGCCCATGCTCCAGGCCGTCCCTGACAGAGCGGCTTCCACACACACACACACACACACACACACACACACACACACACACACACACACACTCCCCTGAGACACCACCCTACCTCGTGGGCTTCCACCCCCATCTCCTTCAGGGCCAACTGGAAGTACTCAGGAGAAGGTTTCCCCACCACTTGGGCTTCGATTCCACAGGCGTACTGGGAAAAGAGAAAAGGGCACAGCACGGGTTGAGGATGAAGCCACAGGCGACTACTCCTCCGAAGGCCTCCCTCTGGGGAATCAACGGAAGAGCGCCCCAAATGTGCACCCACGGGCCAGGGGCCTCCGAGAGGCAGGACACTTGGGCTGAGAGACACATCTCAGAGGCAAGAGCATCAGGATGCTCAGGGCACCCCCACCACGTCCCCTGACATCTGCTCAAAAACCTGAGCACAGCAGGAGGTGGGCCACCACCCCCCCACACCTTGGCTGGTGCTCTCATTTGCGTACTTGCTTCTCCACTGCCCCCAACTCTGTCACAGGCCCTCCAGGGGAAAAGGTCCAGGGCTCTATCTGTCAGTCTGCCCAGCCCTCCCACCTGAGTGCAGGTAGGCAGGAGACTACGTAGCAATGAGGAGGGCAGGTCAGCTGACCTGGGGCGGCTGAGCAGGCAGTGGTCAGAGTGGGCGCTGGAGAGCCCCATCTGAGCCCGGCCCTGGAAACTGGAGGACGGAGTCCCATTAGGACACATCAAGCTCATGAGCAGATGTTGCAGATGAGCAGGGTCAGGGCGAGGCAGGTGGCCCGCACAGAGACGGGAGCCGGGAGTCTGAGAGGACAGCGGCAGTGAGCAGGCTGGAGGCCAGCCGGGTCCAGAGCAGGCGGGCTAGGGTGTGGGGGGGAACAGGAGAGACAGGAGAGCACAGTGACAACCGGGGCGGCTAGGGGCCAGGCTCTGGAGCAGAGGGGGCGCTCAGCTTGAAGCCCCGAATAGGAGGCCCTACTTTGGAAACAGAAGAGGCGATTCAGACATGGAGTACACCCCCTTCCCCGGAAAGACCAGAAACATCCCAGACAGCCCTGAGACCTGAAGAAGGCTCAGACAGACTCAGGGCAGGTACCTCGAGCGCCTTCATGTAGGCACCAACGTCCAGCATCAGGCCCGAGGTCTCCTTGTAGTAGCGTCTACAAAAGAGCAGGAGGGGACAAGATGAGCTGAGCCCAGGAGCTGTGCCAGGAGAAACTGCCCTGTCCTGGTTCTGCCAGCTCCGGAGAGCAGAGCCACGGGTGAGGGTCCGTCCAGATGCCACGCTGGGAACGACCAACGGAGGTCGGCACAACAGAGCCCAGCGGTGGGTCACCGTGCCCGGGCAGGAAGGACAGTGAGCCAGCAGCTCTCAGTCCCAGTGGCCCCCTGCTGCCAGCCTTATGGGGACCCCAGGGGCAGACGGATCCTGTCACCAACAGAAAGACAAGTGGCCTGTGTTCTGGGAAAGGACAGAAGGTCCAAAGAGCATGCGGTGAACCCCTACCTGCTAATAATTAACCCTTAATTGCTGCCCGAAGAAAACTCCATTAGTTCCACAGCACCCTGCAGCATCTCCGATTAGCCAGAGGTCGAGGTGCCAGGTTTCAGGAGCGCCAGATGCTTTTATGAGAGGACAACTCTCTCTTCCCTGTCTCACTGGAGACCGCCACTGCTCGGCTCGTGGGAGTGTGCCTTTCTGAGGACAGTTTTGTGACTGCCGTGAGAGTTGCGCTGGCCCTGGCCTCCACCGTCTGGCCCACCCCAGGCCACGCAGACCCCTCGGGACACGTGGTGGACCGAGCCCGGTTCCCTCGGAGCAAAGCCATTCGACTATAAAGAGGGGCAAAGGTAGTTTAATCCGTGCCGCTCAAAAGACAGGGTTAATGGGAGCCCAGGACTGTTAAAATGTTTTGAGACCCATCACGTCAGGTGTCCCCTCTCCCATGCCCTTTGAGTCGGAGAGACATTGAACGACGCGTACGCAGAGACCCCAAGAGAAGAAGACTGAAGCACGCTGACTCCAGGGCCCAAATCCAAGCTCTACTTCTTTTTAACTGTGGGACTTTGGGTTGCTGAAGTCCTCTGGGCCTCAGTTTCCTAATCTGTAAAATGGGGGGGGAGCAGGGGCCCCCCTGCCAACCTCATGGATTGTTGCGAGGCTCAAAGAAAATAATGCATGCAAAGTTCTTAACATGACGTCTCGCATGCAGACACCACTCAAAAAATATTAGAAAATATTATTATTGTTTATCCGGACCAGGCTACAGGCAGTAAACTACGAGCTGGGCCAGAAAGGATGAACACAAGTCTTTCCCATCTGTGGGAGTTGCAACCTGTTCTGTGCCTACTGAAATGTCAGAACTGAGCTTCCCAGGAGCTGCTTCAGGGCTGTCCCCTTTCTTCCAGCTCTGCGCACCCAGGAGTCCTGCCTGTTCATCTCGGCCCCACCTGAGGCCCTGAAGGCTGCAGGAGCCTGACCTCCCGCCCACACTCACCCAGCCCTCAGCGTTCTCTGGCTCCATGCAGGCCGGCCTGCAAGGCCTTTTAGAATCAACCCGCAGCACCCTGCTGAGGACCCTATGGGCCAGACGATGCTGCTTCAGCTTGATCCCCTCGCCCTCTGTGTGATGACTGCTGTGGGAGGGGAAGAAGGGGGCAGTGGGAGCCCAGAAGGGACAGGAGGGGGACCAGGGAGGGCCTCCCTGAGGAAGGGACATGTCAAGGTGAGCCAGGGACAAAGGACAGAGGTGAGGAGAGAATGTGGCCAGCACAAGAGAGGCTGACCCAGAAGCCAAAGGACAAATTAAAAACACCACCACCTTGTTGCAACAGGCACAGCTCTGTTTGGCGTTGAGAATTCTGGGGGCCTCTGGCCAGTGCCCCTGGGCCGACTGGAGCTGGGTGTACCTCCCTTTGGAAAAACCTCCCAAGGACACCTCCACGGCGCAACTTCTGCCTGGCCCATACTCCCCAGAGTCTTTCTTCCCAAGTGACAGGAACCTGGACTTTCTGAAGTTTAAATTTAGTCCCAGTGGAAGGAAAAACCTGAGCATGCAGCTTAAAATACACAATCAAAACCTTGTCTTTGTTACACTCACGTTTAGAGCCTAAAGAAAAAACTGACTTCCATAAATCAAAATTAGAAACCTTAAAATTTCTTTTTTAACTGAATCTGGGTTTGTTTTTACAGTATCCAGAATTTCTCTTTATTCCTTACTCATTCAGGAAAACCAAAAGCCACCTTGAAGGCCATCTGTTAGCTGAAAACATTTTTAGAGACACAGGAAATACAAGTACTTAAGTTAATTTTTTCCAAATATAAAGGCCCAGGTTATTCCCGAAACCTAAGAGATCTGATATACTATCTTATGTTACTGGCATCACAAAAGCAACAGGAGGCCTGGCTGGAACCTAAGTGTTCCGGCCACAAACTAGAAACTGGGGATGCTGGGGAGACAGGACGGGGCTGGGCAGAAGCAGTCAGATAGATTGTATGCTTTATTCTTCTGCCCTTCCGATTATTCAGCACGACCTCCCTTCAAAATGACCACTTGACCTTTCCCACAAGAGCCATTAACCTTCCATAGTCTGTCGCGTAAACAGCTTAATTTTCTGACGGCAGCATGACAGAAGAAATTACGAAGGCAATTCCCACTCTCGGTCCAAACAGATGCCAAATGTAAATCACTCCATTTCCAGGAGGAGGACATTCTGCCCCAGTGCCTCCACCATCCTGCCTCTTTGGGGGCACCGTGCGGCCCCACGCTGGTGGAGGACGACCCCTCGCCGTCCATGCCCCCCACTTGGACAGGACAGCAGCTCTTCATGGGTCCTTGGGCTGTCCTGAGAAGCTGCTGACCTAGGCCCGAAAGCTCTCAGTTCCTGTCCCTCGTTTCCGAGCGCCCAACCCATAGCCCAAGTCAGAAGCCCCACAAGTCAGAGGCACCCCTAATCGCTTATTTGTAAAACCAACCCTTGCCTACTCTTGAATTTACTGCAGAATGACAAAGCTAAAAAGCAACCGATTCTGTTTCTTTTTCTTTTTCAACAAAATATCTACTTTGACCACTACCCACAATCTGGAACAATAACATTTAACAATCAGGGACAATTTTAAAGAAAAAAGTTTTAACGTAAATGAGTTACAACAGAGCTTCTTCATTATGCTGTTCTCTAGTGAGGGGCTGGTGATCTTAGGGACCCCGAAGGACCAAGCCTGGAATGTAAGGGAGGTAAGCAGGCCAGGTTCCACGGTTTGCAGTGCTCTACACCATAGAATGCTGTGAGGTCAGAAAGGGACTAGGATGGTGAATTTTATGCGTCAACCTGACTGGGCCGAGGTGCCAGATATTTGGTCAAACATTATTCTGGATGTTTCCGTGAAGGTCTTTCTTGGGTGAGATTAACATTTAAATCAGTGGTCTCTGAGTAAACACATTGCCCTCCATTCTGTGGTGGGCCTCATCTAATCAGTTGAAGGCACAAACAGAACAGTGTGACCTCCCCGAGCAAGAAGGAATCTGTCAGCAGAGAGCCTTCGGACTCGGACCGTAGCTCTTCACTGGGTCTCCAGCCCGCCATCCTGCCTTGCAGATTTTGGACTCACCTAGCCTCTCTTGGTTCTGTTTCTGTGATGAATCCTGACTAATACAGGACACATTCTATTTGCATGATAAACACACTAGAATATTTTTAGTTCCTAAAAGAAAGCTATCCTCTCTTTCCTGAAATGTCTTCTGTTCATCTGTTTTGACAGAGACATAGCCATGAAGAAATACCAGGAGAAAAACAACCAAAACAGCACACGTAAAGTGAGAGCAGACTCTGAGCTTGGTGAAGGGACAACAGCAGAAGTGGCGGGGTCTGAGGTCAGCTGGAATTAATGGAGGCAGTGGCCTCAGCTAAGCTTCTGGGTGTGGTGGGATATGGGGCCCTGAACTATCAGATCTTCTGATTTTTTAAGAAGAATCCAGAAATCTATATATTTTATATAAAATCTCCCATTTTTAAACACGCCCCCCCCCCAAATTTAAGATCTTGTGAGGGCCAAACATCTGCTCTCGAATGTAGCCTGGAAGTGACAGGATTTACTGGCCCGGGACCTTGGCTTACTTCACCTCCTTAGGCCTCGATAAGCCCACCTCCAAAATGGCGCTGCTACTGCCTACAGCTCACAGGGTTGTGGTGGGAATGAAACAAAATGGAGTACATAAAGTGCTCAGCAATGGCGCTTGGACGAACAAAAGGTCCCTCCCTTGACTACTGCAATAGCCAGCCCCATCCTGCATACACAGGGAGGGAGTTCCCGATCAGCAGAAGCACCCAAGCTGGGAAAGGCTTCCCCAGACACGGCCCCCAAATCCCTGCCAGGCACGAAAAGCTAGGGCAGGGCTCCAGAGGGTCCCTACAACTTTAAGAGCCCGTGACTCAAATCCTAGCGCCGCTTCTGGTGATGACAGAGTAAGTCTGCACAGCTCTCTGGAAAGCAACTTGCCAACGTGCATCGAGAGCCTCGGATACACACATCATCCTAAACGTGAAGATGCTTATCTCGGCCTTACTCTGGCAGAAGATCAGAAACCACCTAATAATGTCCATCAGCAGGCATCGGTTTCAGAAACTACAGGATATCCTGTAAAAAAAAGATTACAGCAAAACTGTGCCACAGAGACATTTATCTATTGAGTTGAAAGTTGTTCACAAAGTATTATTATCTGGTGAACAACAAAAACCCGGGTGACAAAACTAGGTCAGGTTTGATACTGATGCTCCGAGTACGTCCCTTTGTAATGATTTCTTTGCGCCAGAAACCACTTGGAAGGAAACACACCACCGTGTTGACAGCTGTTAACCTGTGCAGTGGAATGGAAATATTTTCTGTTTTCTTCTTTTTGCTCATCTGTTTTCTCTAATTTTCCTTCCACGAACATGCGCGGTCTTGGTGGTAAAAGATGTTGTGAAAAATAATCAACATGGTTGGTTTGGGTTTTTTTAAAGAAAGACAGCGAGGACTGTGCTAAAGACTCAGACAAAAATGCTGGTAACAAAATCAGGACTTTACAGAGACTGTGCTCTGCGGCCAGAGATGTGGAGCCTGGCCCAGAGCACCCCTCCAAGCCCTCGAACCTCCTCTTTACTACTTAGGTGTCCCCTAGATGATTCTTCAGTGCCTTGTGCTGTATTCTGTGCAAACACACCTAACCTTGGGACAGTGAGCACCTGCGCTCTGAGACCTTGACGGGGCCTCCGTCTGCAGTGACCCTCCCCGGCCCCAGCCTCTCCCAGCCCAGCATCCACACGGAAGCCTGACCAGCCAGCTCCCCCGAAGTCAGAGGATTCTCATTTCCTCACAAATTATTAAAAGAAAGGAAGGGTGAAGAAAAAAAGCAAGAAAAAAGCAGGGAGGGAAAAGGAAGGCAGCCTGTGCCCACCCCACACCCACTTTTCTGCACTGTGTACCGATCCTGTAAGCCAGAGACCCACAGAGCGTCGTCCAAAGCAGCTGGAAACACTCTTCCTAAAGCTGACTTACCCTTTTCCCAGAGAGATGAGCACAGGCTTTTCCAGATCCATGAGCACCCGGAAGGCTTTATTCATGTTTTGGTAAGAAAAGCCTTCTCCGGCATCTGCAATGACCACACAGTTGGGGTTGGACGTGTCGATCTGATCAAATTCTGAGCGGACTCCTGGAAAGAGAAAGAGGGATAAAGCCCGGGGGAGACATGGCCTACGTCCCATCTCCTACCAGGGACACCTTCTGTCTGCCGCGTGGGCCCTGCCCCTCTCTCAGACGCGCTTCCTGATCCTCCCAGCTGTACTGGAGGTGGCTAAGGAAGGGGTTTTACTCCCATTTTACAAATGAAGGAATTCCACTTCCCACAGTTAGGGTTTGTCAGGAGAAAGATGGGCCTGTCCCCGGGGCTCCCACCCTAACACTGGCATTACCCCAGGGGCTACTCAGTTCAATCCCCCAGGCAGGAAACCCATAGCTCTGCAAGTGAGAAGGGGCATTTGCCTGGAAGACACAGATTACCGGATGTCGGGTGAAATGAGGCTGCTGTCTACCTTTATAGGGTCGGTACTGCTGGACCCAAACTGTAAAGACCATCGAACATTCCAGCCCAGCCCCATGGAAGACAGGGCAGCTGGGACATACAGACGTGCTGAGAGGGGTAGCAGCTGGTCCCCCCGCTCCCCAATCCCCTTAGCAAAGCCTCTTCCTCCTTTGCCTTCTCTGCCCTCCCCTATTTTATTTTATTTTACTTTTAAAGACTTTATTTCTTTGTCAGAGAGAGAGAGAGCACAAGCAGGGGGAGCGGCAGGCAGAGGGAGAAGCAGACTCCCTGCGATGCGGGGCTCGCTCTCAGAAGCCCCGGATCATGACCTGAGCCGGAGGCAGACGCTTAACTGACTGAGCCGCCCGGGTGCCCCTGCCCGCCCCAATTTTAAATGAAAACTGAGAACACTGCACGGCTAAGCTGGGCTGTCGGCCTTCCGCCTTCAGTCCCGAGGACGAAACAGACTCTCACCTATCTTGGTATGATAGATGGTAGATACTGACTTTGCTGGATTAAAAAATGGAAGTAACCACATGGCATCACTTCCAACCTGCCAGAATAGCAAGAATTAAAAAGACTGACACTGCCAAGTGCTGGTGGGGAAGCAGAGCGGCTCTGAGAGCTGCCTGGCGGGAATGTGAAATGACACAGTCCTCTGGGGAAAGGCTAGCCGCTTCTGATAAAACTGAACAGCCACCTACCCTCTGACCCAGCAATTCCACTCCTAGGTATTTACCCAAAAGAATTGCACAGAAACATTCGTAGATTTCCTCCCTAATAGCCTAAAGTCGGAAACAGTCAGGTGTCCTTCAACAGGGGAATGGACAAAGCGTGGTATATTCACTTAATGGAATAGCACTCTGCAACAAAAAAGAAAAAAAACCTACTGATACCTGCAACCATACAGGTACATCTCAACAACAGTATGTTGGGGCTACTCAGACCCTGCAGGTTCCAAAGAAAGGTGGTCCTCAGGGTACCTGGGCGGCTCAGTCGGTTAAGCATCTGCCTTCAGCTCAGGTCATGATCTCAGGGTCCTGGGATCGAGCCCCAGGTCGGGCTCTGCGCTCAGTGGGGAGTCTGCTTCTCCCTCTCCCTCTGCTCCTCCCCCTGCTCATGCTCTCGCACATGCTCCCTCTCTCTCAAATAAATAAAATCTTAATAAAAAAAAAAGAGAGAGAGTGTTTTTGTAAGCCTGAGGCCCTGGGAGGCCGGAGACTGAGTAGCCAAGGTGAGTCCACAGGCGCTGCGTGCCTACCTGACCAACCCCTACTCAAAACCCGACACAAGGCTCCAGTGAGCTTCTCTGGGTGACGACACCTCGCAGGTAGGGTCACACATCTTGGATGGGAGAATTAAGTGCGTCTCAGGGCAACTCCACGGACAAGGACCGCTGGAAGGTCACGCCTGGATTCTCCTGGAGTTCGCCCACACCTCTCCTCCCTTTGTTGAGTTCAATCCATGTTCTTTCACCGTGATAAACTATAACTGAGTCTGACAGCTTTTCTGGGCAAATCGTCAAGCTTGAAGGTGGTCTGGAGAGCCCCTAACACAACTAGATGCAGCATGATACTATTTATATAAAAATCTAAACGAGGCAAACTTATTCATGATGAAACAAATCAAAACAGCGGGTGCCTCCAAGAGGGTAGGGGATGGGGACTGACCAGACAGCATGTGAGGGAACTTTCAGGGTGCCGGTCAAGTTCCAGATCGTATCACAACAGGGGTTCGGGATACACAGACATGTGCATCTGTCAAAACTCAGCAGAAGTACACCTGAGATTTTTGCATTTCATTGTACATAAATTTTACATCACAAGAAAAAAATGTCAACAGATGTTGAACTCTAGTTAATGATGTGCTGAAGGGTTTTGGAGATGTGTACCAATGTCTGCTATTTACCTTGAAATGCATCAAAAAGATAAAATAATGGGGCGCCTAGATGGCATAGTTGATTAAGCGTCTGACTCTTGATTTTGGCTCAGGTCATGATCTCAAGGTTGTGGGATCCAGCCCTGCGTTGGGCTCTGCGCTCAGCTCAGAGTCTGCTTAGAGTTCCTCTCTCCCTCTCCCTGCCCCTCCCCCCTGCCACACAAGCACTCTCTCCCTGTCTCTCTCATTCTCTCTCTCAAATAAATAAATCTTAGGAAAAAAAGATAAGATGAAAAGATGGACAGAAAGATGGGTAGACATAATGAAGAAAATATAGTAAAATGTCACTGGTAAAGTCAGGTGATGAGCATACAAATATTTCAAGTAGAATTCCTTTAGCTTTGCTGTATGTTTGCAAATTTCATAAAAAAATGTTGGGGGGGTGGAATTCATCAACAATAAAACTTGGAAAAAGATTCCAAGTCTGAAAACAGGCATATTTATGGAAAACAGATGCAGGAGTGCATCTGGCTTCCCCTCCAGCCTGCTCAAGCTCTAATATCGATTGATGCCCCCTTCAAGGCAAACACTGAATTTCCCTCCCCTTCCCAGCTCATTCCACCCCCATTCCTCCCTTTGCCCCACGGGTGGGGATTTTCTTTCTTAAGTTATTCTCTTTCTTTGAGGACCTGTTCTAAAGACACTGGCAGAGATCCCAGATCACAGAGGAAGGATTTTGAGAAAGAGGATTTCTAAAGGCTGGGCATATTGCCCTCAACTGGCTCCAGAGCTATGGATTTGACACTCAGGCCTTTCAGGGAGCACCCTCAACCTCTGGGGGGCCCCACTCCTGCCGGGAGGCAGAAAAGTATGCTTGCTTCTGCCAGTGGTTTGTAAATAAAAATACCCGGTGCAGGAGAAGAAAGGGGGCTCAGTGCAACGACAGGGAAGTGTCCTGAATTCTGAAGCAGTGCTTATGTTTCTTCTTTTTAAATATTCAGAAGGCACCAGATAATACTGCTCCTTCCACTTCTTTCCAGAAAAACTCTCCACGGAGGGTCAAAAGGGCTCTTTCCTTGCATTCAGACAAAGATCAGGATGTAAACCTTGGGCCATTTGCCAGAAAGCAGGGCTGGTTTTCACAGATAGAGTTCAAGTTCAGGGTTGGGGAAGGGGGACAGGGGAGGCAGGGGGAGTGGAGGGGATGGGGGGTGGCAGACACAAACCTATGGACTTCAATCTAGCCCCTCATCCTCCTTCCCTTCCTCCCCCCCACACCGCCCCACAAACCCTAGAAGCTAAAATTTTGCCCCTATGACAATTCCCTGCCCCCTTGGTCCATTCTAGATCAAAGAAATCAGGCTCAGGGTTTTCCTCTGCGAAAACCGTTCCATCCGGAACCTCCTCTAAAGATCCTCTGGTACTCAGCCAGGGGTGGAACGGGCCTGGTCCCCAGCAGGAAGCCCACGAGGTTTCCACCCCACAGGCCCATGAGCCAAGTGTTCATGTCCTCCCCAGTGGTTTGGCCCAGGTGAGAGGGACACCGTCCCTCAGCCCCCGCCTGGAAAGGAGACACCTTGGCCCCCACCAAGCCCAGGGCCCAGCAGGCCTACCGTCATGAATAAGCAGGTGTGGCCGCAGGCCTCGCTCCTTCAGGATCAGGGAGGTGGCTGGGGCCGGGGAGGTGACCTCGCCCTCGGAAATGTCGAAGCCCTGGCGTTGAAGCAGCCCCACCAGGTCTCTCCGGGACTTCTGCGAATCATTGGTGCAGAACCTCACCTTCAGCTTCGAGAGCTTCAGTCTGGAAGTGGGAACACGACAGGCAGAGGGTGCTGTCAGCACTCGGAGCATGGGGCCTTCATGGAAGGTTACCTCCCAAGGGCAATCAGGACAGCCAGGAGGGGCGAGACCACCATGGCTCCCTGAGGCCGGCCTTGGCTGACCCCGGGGTCTGGATGGGGTTGCTGAGCTGGAGCTGGCCCCTTCCAGGGAACCCCGACCCTGCCCCACAAGCCTCCTTCCCATCCTCACTGAGCCTGTCGCCAGGGACATGTCCCCACTCCCTCCACCTGGGACACGTCTCTGTCCCCACTCTCTCTGCCTGGGACACCCCCCACTTCATCTGAGACACATCTCCACACCCTTCACCTGGGACACATTTCCTTCACTCCTTCTACCTGGGACACATCTCTGTTCCCTCTCCTGGGACATGTCCCGACTCCCTCCACCTGGGACACATTCCCACTCCTTCTGCCTGGGACATGGTGCCTCTCTACACGTGCCAATTCTCCCACCTCCCAAGACCCACCAGATATCTCCCCTCCACCACTCCATCCCACCTGGCCTGGCGAGGGGTCTCTCGTGAACGTCCTCAGCAATTTCTCTGGACCATTCCACCATGATCAGCATTTCCTCTCGGCATGTGAGCTATGTGTGCCTAACTAACTCCAGATTCGTATTTCCCCTAAAGTGCAAAGGCTGAGGGACCAAGCTCAGGTGTGTCTTCTCATTGCTGTCACTGAAGAAAAGTTTGCCAGACCGTCATCAGGTACATGGACGATCCCGGGATGGACGGGCAGGACCCAGGGAGCCCCTGCAAGCCCAGCGTTAACCTCAGTGCTGTGGCCGGCCAGGTGTACTCACATTCTTCTCTCCTGAGCTCCCAGGACACCTGCTGCATCCTGGTTGTGCTTGGGCAGGGTCTTGGAATACAGAGCCACAAGGTGGACACCTAAAGAGGTCCCAAATGCAGTAACATCCAACCCTCCCACAAATAGTTACTGAGCACCTACTAAGTGCCTGGCTGGGGGCCAGCGCACAGAATTGTAACCTTGACCACAGGCAGGCTCCCAGCTGGAGCCACAGGCCGGGCGGGTGGGAGAGAAACTTCACAAAGCAAGAGGGATTTGTGATTGTGAACAGGGAGGTGCTCTGAAGGACTGGAACAGGATGAAGAGACAGATGCAGGCCAGGAGGCAAAGAAACAGCACCCAGCAGAGGGAAGAATGGACTCGGGCTGCGCAGGAAAAGAGGCTGGCACGGCTGAGCCCACAAGTAAGGGGTCCAGTGTGATGGCGGATGTCCCCGCGGGCCCGGGCCCAGAACACACAGCCCTCCCTGGACAAGCCACAGCAAGACGGCAGTCCTGCAGCATCTGCGCAGAGCCGCAGCGTGGGGTCGTGAAAAAGACACCAGGCTACAAGCCAGGAGGCCTGGGAAACCCTAGGAAAATTAACCGAGGGCACTAATCGTTACCTCACGCTGTTCGTAAACAGGTCTCTAAACACATCCATGTCAGTGGTCTCCAAACGCGCAGGAAGACATCTTTACTTTCCAGCCGTCCTTTCAAGTTTTACATTTTTTGTAATGTGAATTGTATTAACATTTGATCTAGTGTTAAATGCATAATTTATCATTTAGTATTTATCAATACACATGTACGAGAGATAAGTGCTCCAATTTTGTACTCACGTGCAGAGATAACACAAAGAGTAGACCCAGTTACTCATAACTATGGACGTGCAATCAACCTCCATTTGGGCAAATAAGTGAGACCCCCAACTAAAAACTCTATCTCAACCCTAGCGGTAACATACTTTTATTCTGCTTTACGAGTGAGGACATTCAATCTCAGAAGGTCAAGTACCTTCTGTTTCTCTTCCTGGATCTGAGGCGCTAGGGATATGTGCTAATTCCTACTTGACCCCAATACGGATCCTGGAACTGATATGGAGTCAGCACCATAGCTACCCTCCAAAGCCAAAGACAGGGAAAGGTTTCATCCCAGGATGGGGTCTTGGAAAAGACTTCCCCGAAGAGCCAGGTCCAACGGGAATCTTGCAGAGCTGACAAGATGGCCAGGGAAGGGTGGGCGGAGCAGAGGGAAGAGCAGGTGCAGGGTAGGCCCCGCCCTCCTAGGACCTGGTCAGGATCAGAATCTTCTAGCAGCCCTGGGTATATGGAAGCTGAGCCAGAAAATGAGGCTGCAGAGGAGTGTCACTGAGCGGGCAGGGATGCCTCAGGCAATCTGTTCCATCCCGGGATGGAGGGAGCTCCACATGCAACGCTCCTTGGCGATAACAGAACTGGGAAAAGGTGGCAGGCCTGTCCAATGTCCCCCTCTCCGCCCTGCGTGACGCTGTCCTTATCCTACCTCTGGCTTTATTTTTCTTTCTTTAAACGTTCACCAATATCTCCAATCATCTGACTTATATCTTTGTTTACTGTCTCTCTCCCAGACCTACGTGCTCCATGACATCAGCAATGACGTCTGGTCCACGCTCCTCGGCATCCCTGCTTCACACAGGGCTGGAACACAGCAGGCTCCCATTTGCTGAACGACTGAGTGATGGAAAATCCAAATGACAGCCCGTGAGAGGGACCCTTCCTTAGAACCACACCGACCACACAACCTACTGCCGCACCCAAGGGTGTCCCGAGCCTGCAGCCCCGTCGGAAACAGGCAGGTGCTCCCACATTATGACGAGCCTCCTGACCCTCCATGCCTGGAGCTGACAGGTGCCACTTGAAAAGAAATCTGTAGATCGACCAACAACAGAGTGAACACACACCTCGAGGCTAACCATGTCTTAATCAACAGCCCAGGTGGTTCAGTCCTTTCTTAATATTTGTCTTTCCTAATCAGAGGGTTATGAATGATCAATTACGCCTAGTGGTTAATTGCCCTTCATAAAGACAGCTTTTGTATTTTTTAAATTAGGCAGTTAATATGTTGTAACTAATAGCATCACCTTGTGCATTATGGACAGATCTTCATTGATTGGCGCCTGGAATGTGTGATTCGCACCCAAGTTAATGGAGCAGTTGAGTGAAGAAGTGCAGGGGTGTCAGGGGACTAATTACTGCTAATGAATTATGATGTGACCTTCTCAGAACAGTGAACAATCGGTGTGACAGTGCCTCACATCTGCTATTCAGGACGCGACTTCAAATGCCGATGACAAATGGGTAAATAACACAAGTCACTTCGGGACACTTCAGCCACGGGTCTCCTCTGAAATACCCACCGAAGTTCATAAAACATATGCTTTAAAATCAAAGTACTGGTTTTAGGATCAAATCAGTCCCTGAAAAAAATCTAGTGCAAAATGTTTGGCAAGTCCCCTCCCTGTGGGTCTGTTCATCCTTCCCACCCCTCTACCGACAGCACCCCCTTTCTGAGCATTTGGGACAAGTCCCAGGTCCCCTCTCTGTTTCTCGTAATCACTGAAATAATAAAAGTGTGGGTTATTAACAGAGTAAAGCATGAATACAACGTTACACTGAGCCCAGGGCTCAGTGTCTATGATCTGATTTGGCCCAGAACCACATGCTTTATTCCCTACATATGTCCCTGGGCCGGGTGCCTGGTGTGCAGGCAGCACTGAGTACGAGCTGACTGAGCAATGCGCCAAGAGACCAGAACCACTGTCCCCATTCTAGAGATGACAAAGCGGAGGCTCTGAGGGGCAGAGACCAATAAAGTCAGACGGCTTGTAAGCAGCAGAGCCCACAGGCTGTGAACCGACCCCACGGGGGCAGCTACACGCTGGCGAGTGCAGGCCTGCATGTTTCCAATAAGGGGAGTGCGGCACCCCCAGGCAAGACCCAGCAGCCCAGGCGCATGCGAGGGGGGTGGGGGGGTAGGCACTCGTGGACTGAGCTGTGTCCCGCCGCCCCCCAACAGATCCCTATGTTGAAGCCCTAAGGAAGTAATGAGGGCTAAATGAGGTCATAAGGGTGGGGTTACGAGACGATAGGGATTAGTGTCCTTTTCTGACAGAGATCTCTCTCCGCTGCGCAAAGAGACAACGTGAGGACAGTGGGCCCCAGAAGCCAGGAAGAAAACTTTTACCAGAAATGGACCCTGCTTGGCACCAGATCTGGGCTCCCCGATAAACGTCTGCTGTTAGGCCCCCCGGCCTGTGGTTTTCTGTTGCGGCAGTGCGAATAGACGAGACAGCCAGAGAACCAAATCCTCAGCATCTCCTGGTGGGTCTGCTGCAGACGTCACAGATTTGGCCTCAGGGGCCCAGGACTGCAAGGCTTCAGAACGTAAGGAAAGCCCCAGCGCGGCCTGGCCTCGGACTTCAGCATAGCCTGCCTGCATCTTCCCGGGAAAACAAATGTAAAGGATTTCAGCTTCAGGCTGGGCCCAGCTCCAGGCCAGGCTGTGTTCTCCCCACTCCACCAAAACCCAAAAAGGCCGGAACCGGTGTCCTCCAGCAGGGCCCTGGCATCCCAGAGTGGGGCTCAGACCAGACTGCCCCTGAGACCCCAGCCCCGACCTCAGCCCGCTGCCCCCTCCCCAGGATTCCCACGAGAGTTGGATTTGCCCCCACTTCCTGCAGCCATACCGGATTTTTGAACTGACCTTTACCTCATCCCGGCAGGCCAGGACAAGCCTCTGAGTGACAACGTCGCCTGGTGCAATTATTGTGCATCACATGAACTGGTCCCTTGCAAATCACCTCGGACCTCACACATCTGCTGGCTGTCGGCATCTGCCAGGGGCGCTCACCCGAAAATAATGGAAACCCTCTCATTATGGCTCGGTAGCAGGTAGAGCACTAGGGCGATTACTGGACATCCTGACCGACCTTGGCATAGCTCCACAGCCCGCTGCCCTCTCTGGCTCGCCACAGAGGGGCTGGGAGGGGAGGCCACCCAAGGGGGGCAAGAAGGCTGCCCCAGACAAGGCCCTCCTGACTGGGCCCATCCTCCCTCCTCACTCCCCCCCACCCCGCCCTTGGGAAGCTGTCACCTTCGTGTGACCCAGGGAGGCCTCCAGTCACCCAGAGT